TTAGAGCCCCGGTTTCGCTAAATCGCTTCTTCAATACATCATCATCATCATTACAGCCCTTCACAAGTCCACTGCTGAACATAGGCCTCCCACAAAGAATGCCACAAAGCACGGTCCTGAGCCACCTGCATCCATCGACTTCCTGCATGTCTTACCAGGTCGTCACTCCATCTCGTGGGGGGACGCCCTACACTTCGCCTACCGGTACGAGGCTGCCACTCGAGAACCTTTCTTCCCCATCGGTTGTCGGTTCTTCGAGCTATATGGCCGGCCCACTGCCACTTCAGCTTACTAATCCGTTGGGCTATGTCGGCTACTCTGGTTCTACTGCGGATATCCTCATTCCTAAGTTTATCACGCAGAGAAACTCCGAGCATAGCCCTCTCCATAGCTCGCTGAGCGACCTTGAGCATCCTCATACGGCCAGCAGTGAAGGACCACGTCTCAGTTCCGTAAGTCATCACTGGCAACACGCACTGGTTGTACAATTTCGTTTTAAGGTTTTGAGGTATGTCTGACGAGAAGATGTGTCGTAGCTTCCCCAATAATCTTCCCGGGACAAACTTAATTTTAATACAAGCAGTATTAAAATTAAGTTCGTCCCGCCGCATGAATTTGGAGATCTGTCTGTTCAGTTGGCTGTATGCTGTCAAATCCACTGAAGACCGCAGCTTCATTTACCGTCTAACAGCCATGAGAGTATGATCGAAGAGTTTTTCTGTTCTTCTGTGGCAGGTCTTGCAAAATTTAGTTCCAACCGCATGGACAGTTTAAACGAGCTTTATCATTGATATCGTCCACTGCGTTGCAGTCTTCTAGGCACTGAAAACGGTTTTGTAACTCGAGCTGAAAGGTTTCGGGACTTTGCATTAGAGCACGAGGGGGGCGGAGCGTTGACTTCATTAAACGACACGGCTCCAACTTAACGTTTAGGTTCAGTGTGCCTCTAACCATTCGGTGATTGCTACCAGTTTCCACCCCTGCGATCGCTGAGACATCACTGAACAGTTACCGCCTAGTCGTCATAATGAAGTCAATATCATTTTTTGTCGAACCGTCGGGGCACGACCAGGTCCACTTCCTGTGGGGCCTCTTCTGGAAGAAAGAGTTCATCATAAAGAGTCCCTTTTTCTTCATGAAGTTGGCCAGCTGCTGGCCCCTTATGATCCGTTGCCTTGTTCCAAATTTCCCTACCCTCAGCTCGCCGTTCTCCCTTGTGCCTAGTATTGCATTGAAGTCTCCCATTTTATGACCTTCATCGAATACCGTTTGGTGATTCTGAGTATAAGGTACGCAATACCCTCGTCGACACACTCACAATCATTACAAGAGACTTATGGACGATAAATCCGACACCCCTTTGGGACAGATGGTCGCCCTCGCAGAGATAAAACAATTTGCTGGATTCGAGGATTACCATGTCCTTCCTCTCTTTTCGGACCTCAGATAATCCTGTAATATCCCAGCGCAACTTGTCTATCTTTTCTTCCACCTCCAGGATCTTCTTGTCAGTCCTCAGAGTGCGTGCGTTGTATGTTGCTAGGTTGTGTCGTCTTAGGCGGCAACCGAACCTCCACCGGAGGTTTTTAGCACCCCCTGCCCCGCCGTTACCATGGTCACCACCGTAGCCAGGAATAGCGGGGCCGCCGGGGTCTGGAGGCTATCTTTTTGTAACTTTTGTCATGAGAAGTATATTGCCATAGCTACCACGCTTGGCGAGCGGGTTGACAACAGCAGTTTTTTTTATTATAATATGCTGTTATCAGAAAAATGCTGCAGCCCATCTTTTGTCTCAGTTTCCCTTTGTTGCCTCGTACGACACCCACGGGAAGATATGGGGTAGTTGGTATTCTTATCCGCCACTACACGGGGGTGTATCGGGAGTTTAGTAATCGATATAGCATAACAGGCGAAGTGTAGGGCATCCCGCCACTAGATAGAGTGACGACCTGGTAATACATGCAGGAAGTCGATGGATGCAGGTGGCTCAAAACCGTGCTTTGTGGCATTTCTTTGGGGTGGCCTATGTTTAGCAGTGGACTTGTAAAAGGCTGTCATGATGATAATGATGATGTATGTGATCTATGATACTAAAGCCTTTACGGAAATTAGGGAGGCTGGAAGTTGTAAAGTCTGCGTGAGAGACGATCCGTAATGAACTTTGAAAACAACAAGTTAACATGACTTAGAAGTTAAATCGGTCTAATATACTTCAATAGAGCCTTGTCACCCAAAGAGTATAGGTATAATCACTATGTTTTATTGTCGTCCTTAAGAACAAGAGTAGTGCCACCGTGGAGGATGGAATTGAAAAGCTTCTGAATGACTTTAAGTACCGGTTTTCTACCGGCTTTTAGAAGCACCGCTGTAATTCTATCTTTGCTCGGCGTCTTGCTGTTTTAAAGGTTGCTGAAGAGCCATTCTAATCCCGTTCAGAATATCGATACCATCAGAATAGTATAGGATGAGATTTGCACTTGTATCTTTACTCACAATGGCGGTACACTACAGTCGGTCTTCAACATCCACGTCTTCTTAATAACAATTAGAAAATAAAATAAACATGTTTGCAGTTTACACTCAATAGAAGTGAAACCTTTAGAAAGGAGACCTAGATATAGGAAACACTATGTATAGTATTCATCTCATTTTCTCGCAGGCTAAATGTATATGTTTGTCTCTTTTTAGTGTCGCTTTTTCGTTTCATCCAGTTCAAAACACAACAAAAGCGGATTTTGATATGTAAAGTGGTGTGATTTTGTGTATTAAATGTTTGCGCATGTGAACTATTAGTGGAAACGGTGAAACAAATGCTCCAATCGTGATGTGAATCTCAAGATAAAGTGTCTGTCTGCTTAGGCGCCTTGAGCTACTACCGCCAACTGTCTGCTGGTTCAAGTTTTGGTTAAAATCTCCCAAAACTACGCAATGTGGCACATCAACATATTGTGAAGCAGTGTACTATATCGGATTATTATGACTTGATACTAAAAATCTATAAAATAAAGAACCCGAATGAAATGAAGGTATGGCTTAAAGAACAAGCATCCAAGCCAAAAAACTTAATAAAAAAATTTGCAACACAGATGGGCACTGGCGCTTGCTGTCTGTTTGTTGTAGGGATGTGCAAGTGAAAAAAATATCGATATTAATCATATCGATATTTTAAAACAGTTTCGTACAAATCGACAACTATCGCATGATAAATTTCAATATATCATCATGTTATGAATGAGGGTGATGGCCAAAATTTTATTGCTGGACGTTTTTACGACAAATAAAAAAACAGAACAAGAATGCTTTTGTAGTTGCTTAATGTTTTGTCTATTAAATTTTAAAATAAATAGAATATTTTAAAATAAATTAATAGTAAAAAAAAACTTTCTTAAAAATAAGCTTATTTAAATGCGCTAAGAACAATAAAATAAACTTTTCCTTTTAAACTTCTACTATCAACTATAACGTCATTACACTACACATAGTCAATATCATATATTATACTCTCTGGAAGCAAGGTCATATGATTTCTGTAATATGTCCAATGGCACTACTCACCAGACCTTTGGACAGTCAAAATTTACCAACAGATGCTGCAGACTCGAACAATTTGACATAAATATCATTATCGAGGACACCTAAAACCCTAGTATACTAAAATTTCAGACGGATTGGAGCAACAGAGTTTATGATCACCATCTTATTTTTTTAAGTCTTATTCTCAGCAAGTCCTTTCATTTGATACCCATATTGTAGGAAAGCATAAAAAACTTAGTCCCCCATCTTTAGAAGTCCACCATATTCGTGACGTCACTTTAGTTTTCAAGTTATACTCAGCAAACCCTTTCATTTGATACCCATATATTAGGAGTACATTAAAAATAACTAGTCCGCCATCTTGGGTATTCCACCATGTTGGATTTAGAATGACATCACATAGCTAACCATGCATTGTTATCCAAACTTAACGTGTATATAAAATTTCATCTCAATCGGTTAAAGATATCTGCTTCAAAATTGACTTGCAAGATTCCACCCGAACAAACATATTTAAATTGCAAGTTAAATAAAAGCTTGTAATATAACATCAAAATTGGTACAAATTCGATACTCTAAAATAAATGTCGAATTTTGATATACCGCGATTAAAAATATCGATATATCGATATTTTTTACCTAAGCCAAGCCTAGTTTGTTGTAGGGATACTCGATGTTGCAGAAACATCTATGATGATATCGATATTGGCATCGATAGCTCAACATCGATGTTTGATGTTTAGTCTACTTAAAACATCGATGTTGACCATTATCGATGTTTTTTTATATGTGTAGATACTTACATATTGCTTTAAAATTATGTGGGTATACACAGTAAGGGAAAAAGTAACAATTAACTTGAATATCAATTTACGTAGAATAATTGTTATGCAACAACTGACAATGACACTACAATATAAAGAGAAAACAATGACAACTGCGACATTACAGGTGACACTTGACAATTCAGTTTGACACACCATAATGATATTTTTTTAGGTTAGCGATGCGTTCAGGTATTCTGGATTATTCAAAATTTTAAACTTCAGAGGAGATGCAAGATTTAGTTGATATTAATTTCGTGGGTTCACATTGTTCACAAGTTCCCAATAATCGATTATGGGTTCATTGACATGTTTCGATGTTTGACATGTGTCAACATCGATAGTTTAATTTTTAACATCGATAATCATCGAACATCCCTAGTCCCCTAGTTTGTTGACTGAAAGAGATAAATTTCTTCCATTTTAATTTAGTGTTCTGTGATTTTAATTGACCGTTTCAAAACAATTGTTTTATCATTTACTCCCACGTTAATATTACAATATGTTTAACCTTTACATTTCCTTTATATGAGATAACTGTTAGCTAAACCGTGATTATGTGCATTTACACAAACTAGACCGAAGCAGGATATGTCCATATTATTGTTTTATTTTGTTGTGTAATTAATAACAGTAAAAAAAATGTATTTTACCAGTAATATCTTACAAATATTCACTATATTAATAATTGTGAACATTAGGGTAACGATATCACAATTTAATAAACCTTGGACTGATAAGTATGAAAATATGTGTCCAAAACTCTATCCAAAAAATTTTGATAATTACGCTCCTGCAGGCAAGTTGCAAAACCTTGTTATTTACTGAGTATATTGAGTATTGATAAAAATAAATTACCAGAACCACTGAAAATTAAAAAGCGTGACCTGAACTGTCATCAGATTCTATTTTATTATTTTTTTTTTACTCAGGTAATATCACTGCTGGTAATTACACAGAAAAGAAAGACTTAAAGGGTGTTCGGCAATGTGTTATGGCTTGCTGTCTTGCAGAATCTTGTAATATTGTGTTCATTGTGGAAACAAAATGTTATCATGTGGAGTGTGTTAGTGATGAGCTGTGCTTGCCTATACCTCGAGTTGGGACTCATAAATGGGAATCACATGTCTCAATGATATTAGTGAAACCAGTTTTACCCAATGGTAAATATAATCCATTTTTATTTAGTTTCTGTAATAAATAATCATCTGTTGCTTAATTTCGGAAATTATGTTTCTTTTGATATGTCATTGTCATCATTCCAACCTACCACAATTACACTTGTAAAGATATATAAAAGTACCATGCATATAAAAATAGTATACAATAAAATTATAAGAGTATGAAGGAAGTAAAATATCGGCTAACAAGAGTTTTCTTTTACTTCAAGATATACAACATAATTACTGGTTATTCAATAATATCATCTAATACTTTACTTCTTACTTCTAAAATAAACTGTTGATTTTAAGACAATATGCTTTCCTTCCCTTTTATTAGGAATACATATAAATGTTTCCCAAATAAAAGGGGAAGAAAATTATTTGAAAGCATTTAGGGGTAGTGTAAAAATACCCACAATTCTATAACATCCCATGGGTGTTCTAAAATTAAATACCCGAGAGGCAGTACAAAATGCCTTGAAGAATTTGTTGCCTTCCATCCAGCTGATTTCTTCAAGAAGAGCATCAATAAACTGCCACTGCATTTTCAAAGATGCATCAGTTGCAATGGTAATTACTTTGATTAGTAGAAAAAAAATATGTTAACTTATTTCATATAAAACAGCAATTTCATAGGTAAAGACCTAATATTAGTAAAAGATATAAAAAAAGTCTCTTAGTATCATCACATTTCCCTATCTATACAAATAAATAAAATTGAAGTGTCTGTTTGTAATGTCAAAATTACAGCTTTTTACTAAATGCAAATGAAAGTATATATGGTATTAAAAACAAAAATACAATTTTTAAAGTTTTTGTGTGTCTGTATGTCTGTTTCTTCCGGCTCATTTCCAAAACGGCTGGACCGATTTTGACGGGATTTTCACTGGCAGATAGCTGATGTCATAAGGAGTAACTTGGGCTACTTTTATTTTAAATAAGGATTAGGGATCCATGCAAAAAACTTAAAACCCTAAATAACACGCGGGCGAAGTTGCAAGGAACAGCTAGTTATATATAGATATGTTTGTGACTGGTGAACGAAGTTAATAAACTATATAATATATTCATTTAGACAAATATATCAAATTTAAAATACCCATTTAAATAAACAATTTTTAAAAACAAGCTACCAGATGATCAAGTTAGCCCTTTATAATATTTTGATTTGTTTATTACAGATAAGGTTTTAAAAAAGATAGATAGATAGATAATTCTTTATTGCGCACACAAAAATGCAAAATAAGAGTCCAAAAATTAAATATTAAAAGGTGATCACTAAATATGATTTCTTACTTAAATGCAAAACAAAGAAAAAGACCAATATTTGTGGAAAATGTTTATTCTCATTTTATGGGAATAGTAATTATATTAGCCAATTTGTAGTGGTGATTCCCTGGTGGTGACTGGTGTTTTAGTAGATAATAATAAATAGAGGAATTAAGGTTGGCTTAAGGCAAGTATCCTGAGGCATAACAAATTTTTGGTGTTTTTGGTCTTAATTGATGTACAATAATGCTCTGACTCAAGTTCTAGCAGCTTTTTATGCAGAAATATGTAGTTTCCAATAAATTATATTTAAAAGTTCTTAGGTTACTTGGGGTTTTAAAGGACAAACATTTATTGTTGCTTAGAGATCAGATGTTCAATGGTAGCACTTGTTTGTTTGAAATATGGAATTTATGGATGCTGCCACACTCTGTCTTCAGCTTCGACAGTTGGCTCTTTCTGATAGACAGATCTCGGGCAAGGACTTTGAAGCCCTGGTTCCACTAGATCGCTTCTTCAATATGAGCTGTATTGAATTTGTGTAAGTCCCACCACATGCATTTTGAGATGTCTGTTCAGTTGTCTGTATGCTGTGAAATCTGCTGAAGACTGCAGTTTAATTTCCCATCTAACTAACAGCCATGAGATTAAGAGTGTGATCAGAGAGTTTTCTTCTGAGATGGGTCTTGCAGAACTTAGCTCTGATCGCATGGACAGTTTCCACGAGGTTGTCATTTATATCATCCACTGCATTGCAGTCTTCTAGGCGATGATAACGGTTTTGCTTGAGCTCAAAGTTTTTGGAACTTCGGATTAGAGCATGAGGGGGACAGAGCGTTGACTTCATTAGACATGACCTCTCCAACTTAATGTTAAGGTTCAGTGTGCCTCTCACCATTTAGTGATCGCTGCCAGTTTTCACCATCGCAATCACTGATACATCACTGAACAGCCGCCGTCTAGTCGTCATAATGAAGTCCAATCTAATTTTTAGTTGAACGTTGGGGATCGACCAGTTCCATGTTTTGTGTGGCTGCCTCTGGAAGAAAGAGTTTATCATAAAGAGCCCCTTTTTCTCCATGAAGTTGGCCTTCATGGAGAAATAAGGTTCCGTTGTCCTATCTCGAATTTTCCTACCTTCAGCTCACCGTTTTTTGCTTTGAAGTCACCCATTAACACCATATAGTGGGTTTCGAAGGAATGCATGGCTTTAGAGATATCATTATTCATTCCCTCCACCTCCTCATCGGTATGTGGCGAGGTTGGTGCGTAAATCTGTATAACTTTCAGCAAATACCGTTTGGTGATTCTGAGTATAATGTTCGCAACCCTCGTTGACATACTTCCAGTCTTGACAATGTTGTTAATGAGAGACTTGTGGACGATAAATCCGACACCTCCTTGGGACAAATGGTCGCCCTCCCGGCGATAGAACAAGTTGCCTGATTCGAAGATTATCGTTTCCTTCCCTTCTTTTCGGACATCGGATAATCCTATAATATTTCAGCACAGGGCTTTCCAGCTCCAGGATCTTTTCGTCAGTCCTCAGGGTGCCTGGGTTGTTGCCAGGTCGAGTCGTCTTAGGTCGCAACCGAACCTCCATCGGCGATTCTGAGCACCTCCTGCCTCGCCGTTGCCATGCTGACCACCGTAGCCAGGAATAGCGGGGCTGCCGGGGACTAGGGACCGTGTCTTCGTAACTCTTATAATGGGGTATATTGCCATAGTCGCCACGCTTGGCGAGCGGGTTGGCATCCGCAGTTCTTTATTGTTGTTTTGCTGTTATCAGAAAGATGCTGCTGCCAATCTTTTGCCTCAGTTTCCCTTCATCGCGTCTTACGACACCCATAGGAAGATATGGCGTAGTGGGTATTCGTGCCTGCCACTACACGGGACTTTAGTGTGTTTTACATAAATAAAGATATTTTTCTCAAAAACTAAGGTTTCTCATTACCGAGTTTTCCTTCACAAAAGGAGTTTACGCTGGAGTGAACAGTCTCACATGGTGTTAAAAAAACTACTTATCTCTGACAGAAAGATTTCGTATGTCCTACTTCTCCCACAACCCTCAACCTACTATCAAGGTGACTTATTTCGTACTTGAATTTTAACTCTAGGAAAATATAATTAATAGAATCAGGCGTTACTTTGCGGAAATCCATTATATAAAAGCTTTTAGAAAAATTTACTTTGCAAATATCCGCGTTATAAAATAAAATGATGTGTCTTACCTAGTATGAAGAGCATCTCCCGCCCTCCCTCAATTGCGTGCACTATCCCCGTCACCACTAATCCCAGCACCGCTACTCCCAACACCACTACACTAGGCAAGACACACTACTGACGATAATACGACACGTGTTTCGCCTCTACACGAGGCATCCTCAGGTGATATAGACTCTACGGTGGCTAACCGCTAAGTAAGTACTGTAGAGTCTATATCTATACTACACTAGGCAAGACTAGATATAGACTTTACAGTACTTACTTAGCGGTTAGCCACCGTAGATTGTGGTGCTGGGATTAGTGGTGACGGGGATAGTGCACGCAATTGAGGGAGGGCGGGAGGTGCTCTTCATACTAGGTAAGACACATCATTTTATTTTATGACGCGGATATTTGCGAAGTAAATTTTTCTAAAAGCTTTTATATCTAGGAAAATATTTAAATATGAAATTTTCAAAAATGGATATTAAAAGAAACTATTACTTTCCATTGTTGAATGCCAAGAAACGTTCACCACAGAGTGCTAAAGCAATACATAAATCATGTTGTAGATGGAATTATTTAATTATAATACTTTGTAAATTTACAGAGAACTGGTCAGATATTTTAGACCAATCTAACTACCGAGAAATAAGTAATAATTTGTCTCCTGAAGAGGTATTATATTCCACATATACAAATCGGCGCAACGACCTCCTAACTGAAGATGAAGATTTTCTATCACATTTCCTTAATAACTTGCCTAACCTAGAAGCTGAAGATTCACAGGCATTTAATAAATTTCGAGATAGCAGCGATGATATGATAATGGATGCATCAAACTTCCTTGAAAAGGTACCTTGTGTTGTTGGTGAACCTGATGACTGTCCTTTCAATTCCGAGTGTGTGTCACTAGGATTAAAGCTACGCAATGGGATATGCAAATGTGTGCCAGGCACCGAAGAAAATGCACAAGGTGCTTGTGTTCAAACATTGAGACCTTATTCTAAAGGACCAACAATACCAATGGATGCTATAAAAAAGAGTGATGATTTAGTTGCTGAATCTAAAGTTGAAAGTTTTAACATGAAATCTCAAACACCAGCACCAAGACAAAATCTGACTGTTTCAATTTTGTCTAAGCAGGTTTGTTATGTTATGCAATAACAATATAATGCTTTAACTTATTTGTGCCAGATTTATCTTCTTTTATACCAAAGTAAATAGTTCTTTTGCTGGACATAAATGATTCCAGGTCCAACTTCCGGACAACGAAGTAACCCTGGCAGCTTATACAATACCTGATGAAAAGTCTACAATGAGTCATTATAACTATGTGTGGACACTTGTGGATCAACCAAAGGATGGCTTTACTGGTAGACTATATAATTTTGAATAAATTAATTTATCATTTTATGCATATTGTAGCTACATACCTTGTATTATTAACTTCGTTCAAAAGAAACTACATTAAAGAAGGAAGAGTTACCAAGTTGTATTTGCAGGTAATATGAACCAAAATGGAGCTTCAGTGACTCTAACAGATTTAACAGAGGGTCAGTATCGGTTCAAAGTGACAGTTAATGGCACAAATTCCTACGGCGAAGGTTTCGCAAATGTTACAGTTTTACCGCCAAAACGCACAAATACTCCTCCATTAGTTGTAATAACACCGCAGTCACAGACTGTAAAATTGCCCAATTCCGTTGCAGTACTTGATGGCAGTGCGAGCAAGGTAAGTACAAGAATATTACAAAGTTTGTCCGTAAGATTGATTGTGTATATAAAAAAGAGAAAAAGGAAATGTTACTAAGGGTTTCCATATTATTTAACTATACAGGGTTATTTTTCAAAGAGTAGCTAAATTTTATATTGAAGTTCAAACAAATAAATTATTATGTACTGATATAAATTTTTTTGAAAATATGAGTAAATAAGGCTTCTATTTTTATTTGAAATTATCCTAAATTGAATGTAATTTATGGACTATAACTACGCTTATGCGCGCTCCTGTATGTGTGATTCAATTTACGTTTTCGTTTCTCAAGTTTTTGCCTACTGTTTACTTTTTTAGTGAAACGCTTACTACTAATGCTTAAGATAATAACTACATAACGCTAATTATGACTCCAATTTTCCTTTTACACTTTAACGGGCTTAGGATCGTCATAATAAATAAAATTAAAAATTATATTTGCTTATCAACGAAAAAAAAATATTTCGAAGACATGTGAAGTTCGTCAACACGCATTGGGACAGCGTGGCGGTTACTTCCTTGCCCTAAAACCCTCTCAGAAATGAGAGATGCCCAGTAGTGGGACGTACATATATAGGCTGTAACTTTAACTTTTTTTTCAACAACGTTATCGACGACTATCCTTATGGCGTATTTAAAAAAAATGCAATAAACAAAAAATTAGGATCAAAAAGGGAAAATTGTGCGAATCATTTCTTCGAATGTCAACCTCACCTGCACGCGGTGTAGCCCGCTGACTGACGAACGAGCCTCTGAAATCCAATTTTTGATGGAAAATCAATTTATAAATGGCTAACTCAAATCTGACTGATAAGCTGCATTATCAGCGCTACAAACTTGATATGACTATGCACTTACGAATCCACCTATCCATTAGCACAGGTGACCACCAGGATCACATCTATCAATCAACAAAGCGTCGGGTGTATATGAGATTGGTATTTGGAGAAAATGTTGCTAAATGCCCTAAAACTTAAATTCTAACTAACTCTATGTTCTTTTAGGATGATGATGCAATAATATCATGGCATTGGGACCTGACATCGGCTCCTATTAGTTACCAGCCCCAACTGCAAGATGGACCTACTCTAGTACTTAAGGATCTGAAGCAACCTGGAAACTACACATTTAAACTGACCGTTGAAGATTCAGATCATGTTAAAAATTCTACAACAGCTAACATCACTGTTTTAAATCATACTGACTATCCACCAGAAGCCAATGCAGGTATTGTATTAAATTTCAGTCCATATTTTGTAAAGTTATATGTTAAAAGTTCTTTTCGTTCTATTGTGGAAAGTCAGAATGTGTGAAAAAAGGCACGTATGACAATTCACAATGCTGTGTTAGTCCATACCTAAATGTGCGGTAGTGAAAGTTGAGTGTGGCAGAAGAAGCACAAGAGCAGAATTAATGCTGTAGAAATGCAGTCATTAAGGAGTATGTTAAAGCTGAATCTAAATGTCAGGGTGGAGGAATTGTGTGATAAGATAAAAATGTGACTTGCAAGTTGCAAGATGATGTGTCCAGGATTAAGAAAGGAATGCTTTGGTGGTTTGGTCATGTAGAAGGAATGAATGAGGAGAGTGTCAAAACAAATATATGTTGCAGAAGTGAATAGCAGAGTTGGCATGGAACGCCCTAGACGGAAGTTTATCGACCAAATTGGCGATATATTGAAGATGGGCCAAATTAGGAGTACCCTTAATCACAGAATATATAATAATTGCTTTCCTTTCTTGTTGACTACCATGCCGACGTTTTAATAGCCTACATCATTATTATTAATTAAACAAATCACGGACGCGAGCTAAATTAAACTTAATTGCTGCGCGCAAGTGTCCGTATAGCTTTGCATTTTTTCCTCTTCCTACGTCACGGACGGTATTCCATGGTTTCCTAAAGTTTTGTTTGTTATTATGCCTTAAAATAAGAAATTAAATTTTAAATATTCTGTGAATATGTTTATCCCACTGGTAAATATACACTAAACAATACTTATTTAAACTTGTATTTACAAAAAACTATTTATGTAAACTGTGTTAAAAAAAAACTTTGAAATTCGCTGGTACTTAGCCCGCTTACTTTTTCTTCTTTATAGCTTTATCAGTCCACTGCTGGACCACTGCCGTAATAGCCACACTTGACAGGCGAGATGAGAGGAGGCCTATGCTCAGGATGTATATGAGTATACAGGGTTATATTTCAAAGAGTAGCCAATTTTTTTTATTTAAATTCAAATATATTAATAATGATATACCGATATTTTACGTGGTAGAGCCATGCTGCAGCTGTATTAATAGTATAGCTGTAGCACGAATGGGTCGGCTCGACCGGGGAAGGACCACGCTCACAGAATACCAGCGTAAAATAGCAGCTTAATGCTGCTGTGTTTCGTAAGTGTAGAGAACCGAAGACCCTTTTTACTGGAAAAGAGGCATTCTATCTTAGTCCTCACGGCTGACAACGCATCTGCATTTTAATTCGCAAACGAAGATAGATGCAGATGTCTATGGGCCACTGGAACCATTTACCATCAGGGACCTGATGGTAAGTGGTTCCAGTGGCCCAGGGTGACAGTGGACTGTGTGCTCGTTTGTCACCCTAATTCAATAAAAAAATATATGTCAGTTTTTGAAAATACGAGTAAATAAGCCTGTTGCTTTTATTTAAAACTAGCTGTCCCCCGCGACGTCGCCCGCGTGGAATTTACTACGTTTTCATGGGTTTTGATTTGTTTGCGCGGATCCTTAAATATTTTTATAAAAATTGCTTATGCTTAAGAATTACACGACGCTAATTCTTCTCTGCAAATTTGGACGTATATTGCAAAATAACCCTGTATATAATCTATCGTAGAAAATTAGATCTTTAAAAAACTGTAGGGAGTCAAGAATGAACACGCGGGAAGAAACATAATATACATAACATAAGGCTTATAAACTTGTTAATTAAATTAACTGCCATAGAACTTATTTTACTTATGTTATAAGATATTTGAATATTTTTCGTCTCTGTGACACTGCAGGCCAAGACGTTATAATATATTTACCAAACAACAACTTGACATTAAATGGTAGCCTTTCGACCGACGACCATGAAATTACTTCTTGGGAGTGGACCAAGTCGGCAGAGGACGAGAATAAGGCTGTGGATATGCAAAACACACATTCTCCGTATTTACAGGTATGTTTAGGCTTGAAATTATTCTATTTTAGAACATAATATCTTTATTTTTATAAATTTTATATTTAGTAACCATGAGTGCGTAGTTAACGTATGTTTGTATGTTAAAATGCATATGACAACACTTTAAAGAAAAGAGAGGTCATGAGGTATCTCATCTTGGTTCTCAGTGGTTATAAGATATTTGCATTTTGAGTGTAATACGACAATAGATGTATGTGCCTATGGGCCACTATATCCACTTACCTTCAGTTGAACTGTGAGCTTGTTGATCATCTTTAACAATAATTTGTTTCAAAAATGTACATACATTATTTTTATATATTGTGACAAACATCCGAAAGTGAATAACTATGCCAAGCATGCTGGATTGAATTCCATCTGGTATGCTTTTGATGGTGAGATTTAAGGTAATAATTTTGAGACTATGCCCATGTACTCTTATAACTTTACTTTTATATTTTGCACGTTTCTTTTATAAAATAAGCTGTTTTCCCCACAGCTATCGAATTTATCAGAAGGTGTTTACACATTTGTGTTAAAAGTGACGGACTCATCAGGGCAGTCATCTACGGCCGATGTTCACGTGTTCGTGAAACCTCCGACTAACACGCCACCGATTGCAGAAGCTGGGTCTGATATTGTAAGTGTCATATGATATGCAAGTGTAATATTATGTAGTTCAATCGGTGACAAAATTTTAAGCCTTGTAACATATATATTGTACATAAAAAATTGTAGTGAAAGGAATGACTTGTAAAAAATCTTGAAGTGGGTCCTTAATATCCTATCTGTATTCTTAAAATGAACACCTACAATTACATTTATATTTAGTATGTTGTGTGATATAAGTCATTCTTAGTGTTTGTAATATTTAGAATATGTTTGATATTGATACTTTAGATTGTTATGGGCAAAATGAATATTAAAAATATTACCATCTGTATTACAAAATCAATATCCTCGACATATTGGATATCATATGTAATATTCAATTTGGTTTCTTAACTAACAACGCATGCTGGGAATTAATATTGATACTTAAGATTTTTACAGCTATGTTAATTTTTTTTTGTCTAAACAAAATTACTAATAATATTACTATTAATACTACAAAATTAATATCCTCGGCATACTGGAAATTATATTTATATTCAATTTGTGTTCTCAACTAACAATGCATGGTGCGGACTAAAAGATAGACCTTGTATGTAATTTGCAGTTCATTTCGCTACCTCAAACATGGGTCACACTTAACGGATCCGGTTCGCACGATGACCACCGTATAGTCGCATACACGTGGCGTTGCATATCCGGCCCCACTAACTCTAACATTGTCGGCTTCAATGAATCGATTGCCAATGCGACCTCACTCACTAAGGGCCAGTACGTTTTCTCACTGACGGTACTCGACGATAATGGCAACTCCGCCTTTGACAATGTCACCGTTACAGTAACACAGAGTAAGTGTTAAATTAAAATTAACTGTAAAATTATTATTAAAAAACTGCATCTTAATTAAGGGGTAGCTGACTAAAGAAGTAAAACAACAAGATTAGAAAAAAAAACGTGTTTTCAAGAAAATTAAAGAAAATAAATTCAACAACTTTATTTATAAAAAGTGAGCAATAATTATATCCAGCTACTACCTAGCAAATAAAAGAAATTATAGGCAGGTGCTTGAATAAGTATGATTTCAAAATAGACCTTGATAGAATCGTCATCGTCGTGATTTGTGGTTTATCAAATCTAATGTAATGGCGGGGACGATCTAGAACATGTTCACACACTGCAGACTTCCCGGAACCTTGGTGCTTCAAGTCAGCTATATGTTCTTTCACGCGGATTTTAATGGATCTTTTTGTTTGTCCTATGTAAGAGAGACTGCATTCACAATCCAGCTTGTACACTCCTGTATCTTGTAGAGGGATATGACACTTGACGAATGGTAAAAATTGACTAATCTTCTTCGGCAGCTTGAAGTATGTTTTAATGGAAGCTCGCTTCAAGATGTAGCCAACCTTGTCTGTGACTCCTCTGACATAGGGTAGTACAGCAGGCACACGCTCGACTGTGGCCGGCTTCACTCGGTCACTGTGACGTAGGCGCGGCACCCGAAGCTTGTTGTCTTGCAATACTTGCTCGACGTGCTGAAGCTCGGCGGCCAGATGTTTTCTATCACAGATCTCTCGTGCTCTCTGAAACAAAGATTTTCCCACGGTAGCTAACTGTGATGGATGATGGTGCGATTCACCATTTAAATATCGGTTGGTGTGGGTCTTTTTTCTATATACAGTGTGACCAATAGTGTTATCGGGATTTCGGATGACTAAAACATCTAGGAAAGCTAAAGAATTGTTTGCCTCTAACTCCATTGTGAATTGTATTTTAGACTTTATGTAATTAAGCTGGTCTAAAAATGCAGTTACTTTGTCAGATGGTAAAATTGTGAAAGTATCGTCTACGTACCGCTTTAGAAATTAAAATTAAAAAAATTAAATCCAAACCCAAGCATACCACTGTAAGACTTCAAGATACTGTAAGCTCATTCTGCGTAGATCGGACCAAAAATTAATATTCAAAAAGCTGAAGGTAGCCGGGCTAACTATGACATCAGGATGTCAAACGCCTCAGTCCCCCCCTCCCCTGACCACGGGTACTGTAAAGCACCCGAAACGTCGGGAATTAAAAAGTTAAATTAAACGCGATAAAATCCGTAAAAATTAGTTTCATTCAATGTGTAGTCTTCGCGTAAATATAAGAAATAATTGAAAATTTTATGTTTAATTTGGAACGCAGTCGTCTTTGTCGAGCATTAAGCGTCTCCCACATACAAGTGGCTTGCGGTGGCGGCTAACCGCTAGCCGCGGCTCCAGCCGCTGCAACAACACACCACCGCGGTCGAAGCGGCGGCCTGAAATTCCATTCGTTGTGGTGTCTGTACTACGATTGAACGTCAGTAAACATAGCTAACTGTGACGAAGTCTTATTATATTCAGCAATATTATCATATATTTTGTTTTTAAGCCCAATGCCTTTGTAATCACGATGCGAATTATCATAGGGCAGGAGTCCCCAGATGACATCTCTTCCATAATGTTATGTGGTGTTTTTCCTTGCTTAGTGAGGAACTTAATCACGGTTAGAAACTTAATTTTCTCCATAATTATTGTTCACTTTCCGATTGACTTGTTGATATAACGTCAACATATGACGATTTCATACTCGTATGTCATGATGTACTAGGATAAGGCTCAAAATTTAATTAGTAACGGTTGGACGACGGAAAAAAACGACAACCGCACATGAATGCTTTTGTAGCTGCTTTTGTTGCTTCATGTTTTGACCATTAATACAACATTTTAAAATATATCGAAATAGATACGAATTCAATACTCGAAAATAAATATCGATATATTGCGATTAAATATATCGACGATATATATCTATATTTTTATGAGATAATATCGATATTTTTTACCAAACCTAGCTCTTGACCCAGAAAAAGTGATCACGCTCACAGCTAAGCAACTCTTTCAGTTCATTGAAGATATAGAGCTTAACAGTGAACTATAACTATAGCAGCACACATCACAATAGATCTTACTAGTTGCAGAGATACTGGTCTTATTAGACTTGCACTATGCACTATTTTTATACAAAGGGGGGCAAACGAGGTGAACCACGTCACCTGATGTTAAGTGTCGACCGCCGCCCACGCCCAACAACGCACCTGCAACGCCAGCGGAATTGCGGGAGCGTTGCCGGCCTTTTAAAAAGTAATAAGCTCGTTTCTTGAGAGTCCTTAAGTTTTATCGGTCCGTAAAAATCCCCGATGGTAAACGATTCCACAAAGATTTGCGAAGAAGAAAACTCCTAGTAAATCGCAGAGGGGTGGACCGTCAAGCCTCCTCCTGATTGGCGGTCCACCACAGGTGACTCGGGACCGTGCTTTGTGGCAGTCTTTGGAGGAGGCCTTTGTTCAGCAGTGGACTTGTGAAGGGTTGTAATGATGATGATGACGACCTATGTGACGGCCTTAATAATCGATGAGTAGACATAAAACCCGCGTGCTAACTACACCATGCCACAAAATAACGTTAATATAATTAATAAATTAAAACTTTAAAAATAAAATGTATTTCATTTTCTTTTATTGTTCTTTATTATTCATTATTTTTTGATAAAAAAGTCTAAAAAATATATTTATGTCGTTTTATTTCAGTACAGTCTATTTTTTTATTTGTAAATATATTTCCTCGGATGTAAGCTTCTTCTAGGGGAACGAGGGGGCTGGCATATCTCTAAGGACAATACAATTTTCGCACTAACAAATTAAGTCCGACAATCAGTGCCAGAATTCATCACGCGTCAGCTGTAACACTGACGCGCGCTGCATACTGGCGCCTATTAGCATTTGTGTGCGTGTATCGCGTGCTTCACATATTTTCAGACGTGAAATAATTTACTTGAAATTAATCCCTATTTCCTTTCATTGCTTTGTTTCAAGACATTAAAACCTTGACATAAGTTTGCATGAATTAATATAATTATTTGTTTTATGTACTAAAGTTTTAAGGACTACGATTGAAATATATGCATGGGTTTGGAAGTCTACAAATAATTAAATGAACATTTTTATATTTACAACTTTGCTGGTTTATTTATAACAGACTTATTTTATTATTATTATTTGGGTTATTTCTGTTTGCTCTATTTTTTGGAATAGGTACCTACATATATAAAAACATTAAAATTATGACATATCATCATCATCATTATTACAGCCCTTCAAAGTCCACTGTTGAACATAGGCCTCCTGCTGGAACTACTTAAAATGCAATGAAGTTAGTTAGCATGTGTTTTTATGGATTGCAATGAGCTTTCCACCATATTTGTGACATTAATTGTCACAACATAACAACAACACAAATTGTTGTTTTAATTTAGATTTTGCTTATTATACGTTAATTTTAAGTTGTAAATGTCGAAAAAACAAACGATAAAATGACAAAAATTTACCAAATAAAGAAAAAAAATTACAGGAAAGAAAGATTTAACATTTTATTAATTTTTTTCCCATAAATGCTTGGGAAAGGCTATAACTTGGGCTATAATCAGTACCTAGTGTTGCCCCCTCTAGATCTTCGAACTGCTTCCAGTCTTCTTGGCATACTCCTAATCAAATTATCAATGAAATATTGAGAGATTGCTTTCCAATCTACATGTAATGTGTTTTTAGCGGGAGCACGATTTCTTTTCTTTATTCTTAATTTGTCTTCCAAGCTTATGCCATGCCATACATGTTCTATGGGGTTTAAGTCGGGCGAGCACGCTGGCCATCCCACTGCATTGATTTCAACATCTCGAAGGTATTCGACAACTATGGCCGTACCTCTCTACCAGGCGTCTCCACACTTGAATCGTTCCATCATCTGGCTTAAGGCAAAATCTGGACTCATCTGTAAATAGAACCTGGCTCCAAGCTTTGTTATTGCAATTTTCGTGATTTCGAGAAAAATTAACTCAAGTTACTCGATGACATGTGACAAGAAGGGGCCTCTAGCAAGCAAGTGTGAATTTATTCCGGCCGATTTAAGTCTTTTCTCACAGTTTTTGTGCTTACTGGAACCCTTCAAACTTTTAGGAATTTTGTTCTTACCTCAGAAAAAGTTAAAGTCAGGTTTATAATCACGCTGATAACGACGAATCGGTCATCTATGGCCACAGTTTTCCGTTTACGTCCTTGTCCTGCGAATCTTGTATAATGACCAGTCTGCCGGTACCTCTTGACAACTCGGTGTAGGTACTCGGTGTACCCGGTTTGTAGGTGTGCCCGGTTTCAATTAAAGTAACAGCCCTAGCAACTTGAGTGGCGTTTCTGATCTGGTATTCCCAGTTTATTTGCTTTAACAATTCACACTTAATACGATAAACAAGGCAGTCAAGGCGAGAATGTAAAAAAAAAATTAAATTTAAATTCAAAAGTTGGCAAAACTTTTGGCAGCATGAAAGAACGCAATATTACGCAATAATGATATAAAAACCAATGGAATTCGAAAAAAAAAAACAACATTCCAAAACTATTTAATAGCATTTAACAATTTTTGCGCAAAGCAGTACGCACGATAATTACAATAGGAAAAATTAAATTGTTTTTGCGTTCCTCTAAATTTTTCCATGAGTGTAATTTACTTTCTTTTCCTTAAAAACATCAAAATTGATTTATTTCATTGCTTTGCCATGCTCGTCAAAGCAATGAAATGCCTTTTATTTTTATTTAAATTATACGAGACGATATATATACCTTTTTTTTAAATCAATGCGCTTGCTTGGCTCATATTTTACAGAATGGCTGTTTATTACGTAATACGTAGATATAATTAAATTTTTAACAACAATTTGTATTTTTTAATAATTTTATTAATTTGATATAGACAAAAATAGTCCACCGAAAGCTGACGCCGGCGGTGATCAAGTGCTGACTTTACCACTATCGGTGCTTATATTAAATGGCTCTAAGTCGCATGATGATTTTCGCATAATTTCGTGGAAGTGGACTCGTGCTGGCTCTGGACTAGCCGCTGGCACTGTTATACTCGGTTCTGATACACAACCGGTACTTATGGTGAGTAATAGTTCTTTACCTTGATTCGTCGAATTACATTTTGACTAATACAAAAATTTCACTTAAGAAAGTCATAATATTTATTTGCGGTTATTTAAATGCTTTCCCTTATGGAGCTTGTGAATGTATTCAACCACGGTCACCAAAAGGAATTAAATTATCTACAGGAAAATTGCCGGCTCCGTGGCGCAATGGCTTAGCAATGAGTCACAACGCTAAGGGCCGCGGTTTTGAATCCCGCACGGAATAAGTATTTGTATGGCGTACAAATAATTGGTCCGGGTCTGGATGTTTGTCCTTGTGAAATTTATGTATGTAAACTAAACCACAGGAGAAAATCTTACTGTGAAGGTCTTTTAAAAAAAAATAGTGCCAGAAGTAAGAGCAAGCTGTCGTCTGTCTCTGACAGATGACAGATGAATGAAATAATATTGTTTTGTTTTGTTATGTAAATGTTAATTCCCTAATATGATGTCATGTGCGCAACACAAGTGGTAAAATCAAACATTTTGTACAAACAACTTCAATATAAATAAAATAAGAATAACTCAAAAACTACTGGTCAGATCTTGATCAAATTTATCCAGGACTACAAGAGAAGTACCAGCTTCAAATAAAAAAAGAATCATCAAAATCGGTTCATCTAGAAAAAAGTGCTGAGGTAACTCACATAAAAAAATATAGTCGAATTGAGTACATCCTCCTTTTTTAAATTCGGTTAAAAATATAGTCAAAGAGATAGTGGAGTTAAAGAATTCACCGTTCCATCTTGTTCAATGATGTCGTGAAAAGTGAATTATTGGAAATAACAGAAAGTTCTCATGATATCTGATACATAGCGACATAACCGTTAAAATATATAATACATATATAATAATTACCACACCAGCTATGGAGAGCAGCGTCAAAAGTGTAACACGTTTGGTACTGCAATCCGTTTGCCAGTAACGCATGGCACTAAAATAACATTACTAAAAATTCTCTCTGTAATGGGAGAGGCAGATGTTAAAAATGTGATGTGTTTTTTATTAATATTTAGTATTTATTAAAAAATAATAATAATAATCCTAATCAGAAAACCTTACGTTTGACCCTGTTTAATATGTAAACATATATTTATTAGGATCTTGCAAAAATTCATATCCTTTCGAATTTTATGACACCTTCCGGAATACGAAATGGAGTGTTCTTGGAGTGTTAGTGTTATCAATCGAGTATTATTTTATTTTTAATTATATCATGAATTTAGTTATTATATGGCTACTTACATTCTCATTTATAGCTAACAAACATAGAACCCGGAAGATATGTATTTGAGTTGACAGTGACAGATGACCAAGGTGAATCTGACAGAGATACAGTAAGCATACAAGTAAAACAGGACCCATTGGAAATGAACCTGCTGGAGATGACACTTCACACGCCAATATCAACATTTACTAAAAGCCAATTGGATACCCTTATTCAAAAGATGACACTGCTTCTAAAAGATGACCTAAAAGTCAACGTAACTGAAATCCGTGGAGAGGTGGATTCTGGAAATACACAAATAATATTTTTCTTATCTGAGAAGGTAAACATTGTCTTCTTAATTAAACTTTAACCTTTTTAAATTACAGTAACTCGTCATCATCATAATAATCATAATCATCATCATTAACAACAACAATAACACCAACGCCAACGATACCATCAACAACAACAACAACAACAACACCATCATCATCAACAACAACACCATCAACAACAACAACACCATCAACAACGTTAACAATAACAACATCAACAACACCAAAATGTAAAAGTCCTGTGCTTGGACTTCTCTTATTTGGCTTCGGAAGGTTGCCACACTTGGCAGGCGGATTGCATTTCACAACCTCTCGCACCTAAGAAGCTGCTTCCCTTAGCCGTTCAGGGTATTTACGTTTGGCATAAACGAATGGCTTATATCGCCATCTAACGGAAGCCATAAGATCTTTCTAGCATTTTCTGTTATCACCTTTGACGACGCCCACGGAATGAAATGGAAGTGATATATTACACCTCTACTGATATATTACCTCTAGTGATATATTACCCTTACACCACCATTGGTGTAAGTCCAGCACACATCAATAATTAGTACACAATAATTTTCTCGTATTTATGGTATAATGTATTTTTGATGTTTTCAGACAGTGTTGTTAACTTTCTAACATTTTTTTTTTATAGAATTAGGGTGACAAACGGGCATATAGTCCACATGATGGTAAGTGGTTGATGTGGCCCATAGACATCTGCATCTATCTTCATTTGCGAATTAAATTGCAGATGCGTTGTCAGCCTTGAGGACTAAGATAGAATACCTCTTTTCCAGTAAAATGGGTCTCTGGTCCTCTACACTCACCATACCAAACACAGCAGCATTAAGCTGCTATTTTACGCTGTTATTATGTGAGAGCGTTGTCCTTCCCCGGTCGAGTCGACCCATTCGTGCTACAACTATACTATTAATATAGCTGCAGCATGGCTCCACCACGCAAGTTGTAGTCCTTAAAATTAAAAAAAATACAGTTTAGATAAAGAGCAATGGCAGACTTTCATACATAAAATTAGTTGAGAAGAAATGGTAGCGTCTATATACCAAAAATATCTTAAAATTTTAAGCGTCAGTCCCTTAATAACTCTGTCAAAGAATTTTGTACTGAGAAGGCGTCAAAAAAAAGATATTTACATTTGAACCTTTTTAGGTTATGTCCTATGTCACTTGAAAAAAGTCATGCTTCCTGTGGTTGTTTGGTGTTAGCTTAATACATAATACATAATTGAGAGTTTTTAGATTATTGTATCTCTACTATATATTTGCATACTATAAATGTATATTTCTGGCATGGCTCCAGGGCTTTTGTACCATAGTGACATTCTCAGAAAGGCTAGAACCCAGAGCCGTAAAGCCAGTAAAAAACTGTCATTTTATTTTAGCTAGTGTTGGCATAACATTAAATGGAATTGTTACATAGTACTATGATTGAGATAATGTATTGTAGTAGGAAATTCTTTGTAAGAGACTTATTATCAGCCATATTACTTTTATTTTTGTTATTACTGATAGTACAGTTATTACTAATAATAACTTAATATAAAATATTTTGTGTGTTGTGTTGGTAGTGTTACAAAGTGTATACGAAAATAGTAGGAATATACTAAATGGCAACATTTTAAATAGAGTAAAATGATTTCAGTCATTTGATATTCCCAAAAATGTTTGTTTTTTTCTGTGGCTTTAATTAAAATATATTTTTATTTGAAAAATCATAGAAAAATAATAAAACTCATTTTATATATAACTTATTTCTAGACGCTATAATTTTTGTCAACTATTTTTCTGCCATTGCTCTTTCATGCATAATTTTTGGAATATAGATAGTACAGAAACTTTTGAGACGACATCATTATGAATAGAAGCACATTTGGGTTCTTGTGGATATGGGCAGTAAGTTACCTTTGATCTGGTAAATGGTAACATTGGTATCAGAATTCAGAACCTGAACTGTGATGAAAAGTCTCCAATTTGTTACTTTTTTATAGGATAGGGTGACAAACGAGCACACAGTCCACCTGATGGTAGGCGGTTGCTGTGACCCATAGACATCTACATCTATCCTCGTTTGCGAAACAAAATGCAAATGCATTGTCACCCGTGAGGACTAATATGGAATGCCTCTTTTTCAGTAAAAAGAGTCTCCGGTTCTCTACACTCACCATACGAAACACAACAGTGTTAAACTGCTATTTTACACTGGCATTCTGTGAGAGCGTGGTCATTCCCCGGTCGAGCCGACCCATTCGTGCTACAACTATACTACTAATATAGCTGCAGCATGGCTCTACCACTTGCATAAGTTATTTCTACATTGACATATATATTATATATTTCTACATATGTCTGGTTACTAAGTACAAGAATTGATTCCTTTCTATTTACTTTTCATAGGTACGTTGTATCTAAGTGTGTGTGCTTATAGTATACTAAGGTGCACGCAAAAACGTTTGCAAACGTTTGCTGTGTTATGGTTGCAGCACGAATGGGTCGGCTCGACCGGGGAAGGACCACGCTCTCACATAATACCAGCGTAAAATACCAGGTTAATGCCGCTGTGTTTTGTTTGGTGAGTGTAGAAAATCGCAAACCCCTTTTACTGGAAACAAAGTATTCCATCATAGTCCTTAGGGGAGACACCACCACCACCACCACATCAGCCACGACAGTCCACTGTTGGACATGGGCCTGCACGCACGCCACGCTTGGCAGGCGGGTTGGCGAGCGCAGTCCAAGTTGTTATATTAACAAGGAATGCTGCTGCCCATTCTTTGGATATGTCCTTTAGTCGGTTTTTACGACACCCACGGGTAGAGTTAGGGTGGTGCTATTCTAATCCGACACCACACGGGATAACAACGCATCTGCATTTTGATTCTTAATTGAGTATAGATGTAGATATCCATGGGCTAGAGCATCCACTTACCATCATGTGGACAGTATGCTCGTTTGTGATCTATATTCTATAAAAAAAAAACAAATGACTGTGTGTCACCCTCACTTACTTTATCCTCGAATAATCTAGACCCATTTATAATACAACTGCAGCGTGGCTATACAATGCATAGTATATAATTTAAATATATAACACACACTGCAGATTGCCGTGTTGTTGTGACGGCGTAAGAGAATCCACCCATTACTTTATATCACCACGTGGGTGTTGTACGGGGCGTCTGTGGAAAACTATCACTAGTTATTACCAACCCATATGCAATGGTAACGCCACTTAAAGTCATATTGTAGTTGTAGCTCGAATGGGTCGGCTCGACCGGGGTAAAACCACGCTCTCACAGAATACCAGCGTAAAATAGCAGCTTAATGCTGCTATTTTTCGTTGAGTAGAAAAAACTGGAGATTCATTTTATTTACTATTGGTATATATATTTTAAATTATCTCTGGAAAAACCCTCTGTCCTGGGAAGAAAAAGCAAGAAACTGAGCGGGATTTTTTCTTAGACATTAATTTACAATATAATATTTTATACAATTAAATATCAAAACATTTAGAAACAGTATGCTAGCCGTCACCTCATTGTTAGGAGTTATTATCAATCATGTACTATATAATAGTATAATAACCTTTATTTAACAATTTTTGCATAATTAAAATTTTAGACGTTGATAGATAAGTTTTGGATATTTTTCTTGGGCTACGTAATCTACTAGTACTGTACTGTATGCTCGTTTTGTCACCCTAATCCTAAGAATTATCGGTTTTACAAAAGACTACAGAAACACGCTAAAGATAAAATTATTTTATTTTAGCGTGGTGATCCTCATCATGATACTAGAATAATGTTGTTAAATTATTGAATTGTCAGCGCTCCTTGATACGGGTACAAATTTTCAAGTCATTCGACAGTCTACAAGTTGGTGAAAATTATATTAATAGATTTCGTTACATAGATAGATAGATAGATACACGCGAAGTTAATTAAAGAGTGTTAAAAATGGAAAATATTACGTTTATGAATCAATCAATGTGGGAGGTTTGTTGAACAATGGATTTTGAGAGGCTTTAATGAAGGTACATTGCAGGGCGCAGCGGTCGAGGGTATAAGAGCGTTGAGCGCGGTGCGCGGCACGGGCTTGACGCGCGGCGCGGGCGCGGGCGTGGCGGGCGTGGCGCGCGTGCGCTCGCTGCGCTGCCTCAGCGCGTGCTCGGGCCGCGGCGTGTGCGACCGCGCCACGCGCACGTGCCGCTGCGACGCCTTCTGGATGCAGAGCCTGCTCACGCAGCTCGACCCCGACGCCCAGCCCGACTGCAGTAAGTGTTCACAAATTGTCGCCGTGCCCGTTTATTTATTTAACTTCCAATACCGTAACATATTAACTGGTGTAGTGCCGGTGTGAGAATATCCACTACTCCATATACGTCCCGTGGGTGACGTAAGAAGCGACAGAGGGAAACTGAAACAGGACATAGGCATCTTCGTAATAATCAAGCCAAGCGTGGCAACCACGGAGTAAATACAAAGAGGTTTTATATTTAGATTTCACTATGAAACAACGCGTGACAATATGCGGAGTGAGGGGGTGTTAAGCCCCGCCCTCTTATCTATATTCCATCTACCGATAAATAGTAAAACTACTCGCATCGTTCCATATCGATGTTGCAATGTAGTTTAGCTACCTTGAAGATAGATGGAGGCCTGTTTACAAATTATTATAAAAACTATAAAAATAATATTTGGGTGATTAAAAATTCTTTAAGACTGAATACAAAACAAATTTCAACATCATCACAAAAAAAATATTAAATATTGAATGGGTTTTTAATGATCTCCTAACTAACTAGGCAAACAAAAGAGGCAACTGCAGCTCAGTTTGATTATACCTATGAAAAATGGATATTAACCAAATCATCATCAGACATTACTTTGCGGAAATCCTTCATATTAAAGTTGGCAAAAATTTACTTTGCCCATATCCGCTCAATAAAATAAAATGTGGCTTACTTAGTTTGAAGAGCACCTCCCGCCCTCCGTCAATTGTGTGCACTATCCCCCTCACCACTTATCCCTTCAGCATGGGATGACGAACTTCAACTTGTGATAAAAAAACAATAGACACGCGACTTCCCACAAAAGGTATGAATTTGTGATTTAAGAAAATATAACATTCAAAATTCAAACATTTATGAGCGGAATTTATCGAGCGGATGTACGCGAAGTAATTTTTGCCAACTTTAATATAATGGACTTCCGCGTAACACCTGATTCTATTAATCATGTATGAATTTTCAGTGGGCCCTATATACAGTAAGTATTGACAATAATACGAGGGCGGCACTGAAAATTTCGGGAATCAAGGAAGTGACACAACATTACTATTTAAAAATATATTTATTGCTTTTCGAAGTATTCTCCGCGTAATTTGACACATTTTTGCATTTGCATTGAAGCAACCATTCCATTCGGAAGTTGGAGTCTCCAAAATGACCGTTTTGTAGGCATCCACAGCTTCTTCAGGTGATGAAAATCTCTGTCCACGCAATTTATTCTTTATTTTAGGGAAAGTATAGAAATCATTAGGGCTTAGGTCGGGGCTGTACGGCGGATGGTCTAATAATTCTATGTTTTCTTGCTCTAAAAACTCTTTTGTTCTGTGTGCGGTGTGAGAACTCGCATTGTCGTGATGGAGGATAATGCGGCGGTTGCAGTTCTCTTTACGGAGTTCAGAAACGACCTGTGGCAAACAAATGCTAGCATACCATTCTGCATTAACCGTTCTTTGTCCCTCAAGAGGAATAATCGTAACATGGCTGGTTTTGGAGACAAATGTGGCCACCATTTTTTTGCAACACTCCGTGAACAGGATTCGTCACCTGATACGATGATACAGCATTTGAGGATCCTGCGTGGAATCTTTCGAATGTTCTGACGCACCAAGTAACGCGAGCCACTTTTTGCTCTTCACAGAGCGAATGCGGTATCCATCGGGAAAACAACTTTTTTACACCTAATTGTTCATGCAAGATTATTTGTATTTGACTCATGCCAATCTCTAAAGTTGCCTGAATTTCACGGTATGTCACATGTCGATCTTCCTCAATCAGCTTACGCACAGCATCAACGTTTTCTTGGGTGACTGCAGTTTTTGGACGACCTTGACGGGGATCATCACTGAACTTGACACGTCCACGTTGAAATTCAGCAAACCAGCGATAAATTATGGTTTTGGATGGGGCTTCATCACCAAATGCAGAAATCATCCGGTCAATACACTGTTTTTGTGTTAAACCACTTCGAAAGTCATAATAATTCATCGCTCTTGAATTTTCTCGAGTCAATTCCATTTTCTCAACGACTAAACAAGTTTGACAAAACCTTGTGACAAGACCGAGAATCTTTTTAAAAAAAAATAAATGGTATTCGATTTTTAAAACCAAGGAGTTTTCAATTAAAAAGATTTTAATATGACAGGAACAGTGGAAATATTCTATTCCCGATACTTTTAGTGCAGCCTATGTATTGAATGTGTAAACCCACTCAAAGCAAGATATTAATTGCGGTATTAGAATAAAATAAAATAAATATCCCTATCCTTGGCAGGAGGTCTGTTTCTCTTTTGCGGATCCGTCAAGTTGCGATAACCGATGTATTGCGTCAAGCTATGGAGTATTTTATCCCAGGCTGGAAAGCACAAGCATTTAGCGTATCTATACAGAGTTGATATCTGCTCCAAGAAGAGAACTCAACCACGCTGCCAGGTCCTACAAAAAAGCATTACGGAAAGCCTGTCTCGATCACATTAAACATATTGGCGCAAAACTCTCTGCCAAACCATCCGGCACTAGAGCTTTTTGGTCTCTTGCCAAAGCGGTCGTGACAAACTTCTGTCGACCTACACTGCCTCCACTGTTAAAATTGGATGGCACACTGGCGCATACGGCTAAAGAGAAAGCGGACTTGTTCGTGTCTCTATTTGCCTACAATTCGCGTCTGGATAGTGGCAACAACATTCCACCTAAATTACCTCACTGCGGGACCTCTATGTCGGAGATTCGTATCACAAATAAGGAGGTACTTAAAACCTTGCGGTGTCTAGACGTGAATAAAGTTAGTGGACCAGATGGTATACCTAATTCTAAAGGTTTGTGCACCTAAGTTGTCTCCTGTGCTTACATGTTTATTCCGGCTCTCATTTAGGACTGGAATAGCGCCATAATCCTGGAAACTGGCCAACGTGTAGCCTGTTCCAAAAAAAGCCAGCCCGTGCCGACCCTGCCAATTATCGGTCAATCTAAATAACCTCCATACTCTGCAAGATTGTGGAACTTATATTGACAGCTTAATGGCAGACCTAGAACAGAATGACCTCCTTAGTGACCAACAGTACGGGTTTCGCCGAAATCGGTCAATGTGTCTGCCGTCCGCGCACGCACTACCGCCTGCTGCCGCACGCCGACAAGGACAAACCCTTTGAGCAATGCCTTGATGTCTCGAAGGCCTTTGACAGAGTATGGAAGGCTAGCCTTCTGGGTAAGCTTCCAGCGTGCGGCTTATCCCCTGGTCTGATTGACTGGATAAAGGACTTTCTGAGTGAACGGTCTCCGGGTCGTCGTCGATGGCTGCTCATCCGATCCTGTGGCGACTAACGCCCGTGTTCCTCACGGTTCCGGTCTCTCCACAACTCACTTCCTGCTGCACATTAATGACCTGCTTATGCTCGGTATCTATGGGTATGCACACGATAGCACAGTTGTGGAGAGATACCAACCAAGTCCTCGCGCTAGTCGGGATCAAATCCAGTCCGAAAAAGAAGCTATGGTAGAGCGTATGAATCTCACACTACTCTACACTACTTGTGAAGTTCAACGCCTCCAAAACTCAAGCGTGTCTCTCAACCGATTCGTTGCGGTGCCGATTTTCGACAACTTTTAGCTGTGGCGGCGAACAAATATTTCGTGACACGCCTGTCGTGTCAAGCGCCACAGCTTTTTTCACTTGTTTAGAACAAATTAAGTTTATTTGACATAAAACATCAGTTGCAAACGGAAGGATACTTGTTTTTAGTGGGTAAATACGTGTTTTTCTACGTGTTTGTGTTTTATAAAAAAATAATTTAGCAGGTACAGCTAAATCACTCTGGAAAACCTTGGTTTTTATTAAATTAAATTTTCACCTAATAAAAACATTTGTAAATACCAAACAATGAAGAACCTTATTTTGGAAAAAATAAGGTTTATGATTCATTGATATTTACAAATATTAAATATTATTTTATGTTATACAAATGTAAAAGTAAAGTCGATCTGAAAACGTCTAATTAGTAAGAATAGCAAAACAAGTGTTTTCAAAAGGAAAAAAACGCCGGCGCTATACGGCGGCGGATTGACAAAAGACTATTTATTAGCGAACTTTTTTTATGCAAGAACGGTTTCGAACTTTTTCAAGCAAAAATAAACCTTATACCATATCACAAGAGCACATGGTACTTCGTAGGTCTATTCGGCCATGTGATAGTAATAAGACGGCAGTTCAAAAGTTCATTGTTTTTTTTTTAACAGGAGACTTGTTTTCCAGAAATTTATTTACAACTTAAGTTTGTGCTAAACGGTCTTTGTGTTTGAACTAAACGGTTTGCTGCGTCGTTTATCTTGCGTACAGCAAAGGAGTGGAATAAGTTGCCAGCATTTGTCTTTCCATCCCATTACAGTGTAGGTGTCTTCAAAGCAAGAGTAAATAGGTTTTTGTTAAGTCAGTGCGCTTCACCATCTCAGGCTATATCACCAATTACTATCAGGTGGGATTGTATTAAGCGCTGGCTTAAAATAGGGTGAGTGGGAGGAAGATGAAAAACGGGGTAACACAAAAAGGCAACATTCATAAGACCGCCATTTTGTTACGTACCACACCAAAGTCGGCACTTGTCGTTTTAAGGGGTCGGTTGTATGATATAATGGAATATCTACGCTGTGAATTTTACGCGAGCAAGTCGGGTGTTTTAATGTTACCCCGTGTCGTGTAACTAGATTTACGAGGTAGGTACGAGTTTTTTATTTGTATACATACTTATTATTTTTAATTGGTAGTTATGTTGCTATGTCTAAATATCGCTACTTTTTGGATTTTAGGATTTATTGTAACATTCCGTCTTTGCCCGCCAATATTTGACGGGGTAAGATAAACATATAAAAGTTTCCATCTTGCCCCGTTTTCAAAAGTCATACAAAAGGTCTCATGTTCTCAAACTGTACCTGAGAAAATGTTTTGTTTTGTTACAGCCATTATATAAATTGTCAGCGGCACAATTTTAGCTAATATTATCTAAAAGTATTTATTTTAATTTTTGTATATTATAAGAGAGGCAAGCGGGTCACCTGATGGCTAAGTAATTTCATCGCTGCCCATAGAAACAGAAACAGAAACAGAAACAGAAACTTTTTTATTCAATATAGATTATAAATAATACTTATTGAAAGTCACTCTTTTGTTTGATTACCACTGGTTCGGAAAAAACCTCTGTCCTGGGAAGAACCAGCAAGAAACCCAGCGGGACTTTTTTTTTAAATAACAGCTTACAATCATGATGTTACACAAATTAACAACACAACAAATTAGAAATAGCTTGGTAGCGATCACCTCATTTCCAGGGGTTATTATCATCCATAAATTCCTTAATATTATAATAACCCTTTTTATACAAACTTAGTTTAATAAAGTTTTTGAACTTTGAACAGGTCAAACTTTGTATATTTTCTGGAATTTTGTTGTAAAAAGTCATAGACACAAGAAACAAGAGGAGTGTTACTTGTGCGTTGCCTTCTCATAAGGTATAGGAACAGGATTCGTAGGAATGGGAGTAGGAACTTAAAGAAAGGGGAAAGACCACCAGACACTCGTTAGTAAATGCAATATCACAGCTCGTAGAACAATGCAACGTCACATCGGTTTATCTAGCAAACGTCAACATTCAGGTGGCCTTAAGAAAAGGGGAAAAGGAACGGGCATCCGGAACTCTCACTCACCAGACGAAACATGGCAGCCACTAAGAAGCTAACCACTTCACGCTGATTTTCTGTGAGAGGGTAGTATTGCACCGGTCGACCCTGCTCATTTATGTGTTACAGTGAACTGGATCTACTACCAATTTTTTTTTTATTAATATTTAGATAATATTTTTTTAGAAGTTTTTCTATGTTTTTGGTTGTGGCATTTCTCTAAGATCTTATTAATTGGTTAGCTGTTTAATTTTGAAATATTTAATTTTTTTCGTTTTGTACTACATATTTTGTTGACGAAAATGGTAAAAGGTACATTTACGTAATTGTGTTCAAAATTATCTTGGCATTAACAATAAAAAAAAAATTATATGATTTATATCTTTCATTTTCTGTATAATCTTATCTAAGTAAAGTGGAAAGTTTGAGAACCTCTAGTTCAATCTTTCCCCGGCGGGGCAAGATTGAAATATAAAAAACAAATAAGTTGTGTTATCTGTGTTATTTGAAGGTATTTTGATATTATAGACAGTTCTGAAGTGTAAGGACAATTAAAATTGTAGCTGACCGTCAATATCGTCTGACATTCATTTGAACGATTTTAGAAACTACTTCGATCTTCCCCCACCACCCTTTCATCTATCCCCCTGTTTTTTTCTTTCGATAAAAACATTGCTATTAATTTTTTTTGCCTTCGAATAAATATAACAGGGATTTATCGATATGATATAAAAATATGCTCTTTGTACTTTATTCACTATAGATATAATTTTAGCTTAAGTTAATATGTACTGTTCTACAAGACGTCAAACACAACACTGCTCATCTCATCAAAACACCGTTAGATCTTCCCCCCACTCACCCTAATATTTAAAAAAAAAATAGATTCCAAGAATATTTATTGAAAAACAATTTAAGCTTTACCTTTGGTTTGGAAAAAAAACCTATGTTCTGGGAAGAACCAGCAAGAAACCCAGCGGGACCTTTTTTAAATAAAAGTAATTTACAATATATTATTTTATACAATTAGTATGAAAACATTTAGAAACAGCATGGTAGCGTATTGTAGCATGGTGTTTGTAAATATTTTGATACGTATTGCACCGGTGTGGTTGCGTGGCGCAGGCTGGTCGGTGGTGTACGCGAGCCTGGGCGGCGTGGCGGCGCTGTGCTGCGCGGGCGGCGCGTGCGCGGCCGCGGCGCGCCTGCTGCGTCGCGCCTGCGCGCCGCGCCGCCGCCCGCGCACGCACTACCGCCTGCTGCCGCACGCCGACGAGGACAAACCCTGTGAGTAATGCCATATCTACTTCTTTATACTATGCTACTACTTTAAGTGTCGCCGCACACTGAGCCACTAGTGGCGGTCACTAGAGGCAACCACTACAGGCTCAGTCAAACTCCTAGACGTGGCCACCAATCAGAGCCACTAGTAGCGAACGCAGGCGACTCCCGCAGCCTGTGGCTCGAACGCGGCCACTCGAACCTATAAAAAGTGTATATGCATAAATAAATAGAAAAGCTAAAAAATGTAAAACTTACAGCAAGGTATAATTAACAATATTTGCGTGAGTGTGTGCAAGAAAGTGTGTGTGTATGAATGAGTATGAGAAGTCTGTAAGTGTGAAAATTTATAAGGCACTATTTTCGAAAAGGTATTCAGTTTCTTCATAGGTAAGTTGTTACGGTTTTTTTCAGTCATGGTTATTCATAGGGTAAATATGGATTTTTTTTGGTTTATTTTATAATATAAGTAAATTGAACGTCTTGTATACTGTCTCGATGCAACCTTAGTCTTAAGTGAATCTTCGTATTCTGTGTATGTTTATGCCCAAATTTGGTAATTTTTGAACGCCATCCAATTGAGTTCGAGCTGGCGCGTCACCCGATAGTATGTAGGTGAAAAAAAAACGCCGCCAGGTGGGGCGGCCGTGTGCCGCTGGCAGTGGCTCGACGCGTGTTCGAAGAAGGGTAGGTCGCTGGCCGCGATGCGGGGAACCCGCGTATATCGGTTATCGCGGCAGAAGTTCACGCGACCATGTAGGGTCCAGATAGTTAGATTTAGGCGTGTTACTTCGCTACGTGGATATGTGAATTTTGCAATATTTAACTTATTCGGGTGATGCGGAATTGTGCACGCGCGCGTCGAGTAGATATACGGTCTAGGATTCGAACCGCGCATTCCTTGGTCGAGAGCGTCTCCCGGTTGATTGTTTGGAAATCATTATAATTGTGCTGTCGCGTTAAGTGCCCTCTTTTGTGTGTTAGTTTGGTTGGTTTGTTAGTTTACGTGTCAACGAGGCGTATTTTGAATTATTTTCGCGACGTGGTATTTTGGTGTCGAATGAAGGAACTTAGTTGTGTTTAACGCTGAACCGTATGACTCATTAAGAGATCGCTTTAGTTCCCTATTTATAATTTTGTGATAAGTGAATCCGGGACATTGAATGTCGAATTTTGAACTACTGTCCTTACTGTTTCGGGTATCACGTGTTCGATTCTGCGATGAATGTGGAATTAGGCGAGTTTAAGTTGGTTAAATATACAATGAAGCTAATAGATTGAAATAGTGACAAAGAAGAAAGAAATGGTCCAGCGGTGGGGCCTGCTGGAGCGATGCAGCATTGTGGCGCAGCCTGGAACTCGGCCGGGGCTAGTCGCCTAAGCTGGTCCAGGTCTCTAGACATTTACACATCACTGAACACTACTTGCCATTCACCTTACACTCACTTACGGCCTGACCGAGCCTTGGGGCGATCTAAGAGTTGGAAACAGGTACGTACTATATATTTCCCTAGTCTTCTCCCATATAGCTTAGTATTATAGGAAATTCCTCCATGTGGCCATTTGGGGCCCGACCTGCGGCTGCTCGTGGAATCTTATGCTCATGGGCCCCGGAAGATTCGAACTTTGCAGGGGCAGCTATAGGCCGTAACAGTGTATTTTCTACGTTTCTGGTTATTGATGACGGTTGCTAATTTAGGGAACTGTGAAGTTTTAAAACTGTTCCTAAAATGTAAAGTTTTTTTACCGAAAGTAAATGACTCAATTCATAAAGTTCAGTTGTAGAGAATCTATACGGCTTTAAGTACATAACTTTAATTAAGCACCGTTTAGCTTTATCAAGCTCAAGGAACCTGGTTTTTGTTGCACCACCCCATATAGGAATACAGTAGCCTACCGTTGACTGAACTAGAGCTATGTATATTTTATTAAGTAAGGACTTTGTGAAGACATGTCGTAGTGACTTAAATATCCAAATAAGTTTCCTGAGCCGAGTTGCCATTAATTCTAGGTGTGAATACCAAGACAGTCTTTGGTCAACCATTACTCCTAGATACTTTGTACTTGAGACTTTATTTATTCGTGAGCAGTTACAACTAGAGCTTGGGACAAATGCAAAGGAAAAGCGCAATATAAAATTAAAAGTAAATGATGTGATAAGTTCAGATCCAAAACAAGTCGCAAAAGCATTCTATAACTTTTTCGCGTCGAATGGTGAGTTCAACCCTGATCCAGCAACAGGCAGCGGCGTATGTGGCCGCCCTGTTCTCCGGCCGATACAAAACACTATGTATCTGAGCCCAGTCGACTGTCCCGAGGTGTATAAAATTGTTAAAAGCTTGAAGAAGAATAAAAGAAGCCACGGCATAGATGAATTTTCACATCATTTAATCAAAGAATGTGCAGACGAATTGACCTTACCGTTGACAATATTAATAAATTAATCATTTAACGAAGGCACCTTTCCAATACAACTAAAGAAGACAATTATAAAACCTGTTCATAAAAAAAAACCGATCCAAGTAATTATCGCCCTATTGCCCTTTTGCCGACTGTATCAAAAATTTTCGAGAAGGCCATTTGTAACCGTGTTACTAGATTTTGTGAAAAATACCAGATATTTGATGATTGCCAGAATGGCTATCGAAAAAACCGATTCTCAGTTTTAGCAGTGTACAAATATATTAATGAAGTTGTAAAAATTTTAGATAGTAAACAATACGGTGTAGGTATCCTCTTAGACATGACGAAGGCATATGATAGTGTGCAACATAATATACTATAAAATAAATTATACGAGTTAGGTATTCGTGGTTCCGCTCATAAATGGTTTACTTCGTACTTGAATAAAAGGCAGCAATTCGTTGAGATCGAACACTTTGATACCACTACCAAAAATATTTCATACGTGCGCTCCGATTGCAAGGTAACAAATGTATCAATACCTCAAGGAAGTGTCGTTGGATGTCTTCAATGCTATAGAAGAAACGTCTGTCTTGTTTGCCGATGATATATCGCTATTAACTTAATGCCAAAACGATACAGATATTTATGAAAAACTTCAGACTGGTTGAATGAAAATAATCTAAAAATAAATTTTTCTAAAACTAAAATATTAACATTTCATCCCCATCAAAAAACCTCACTAAATTTAAAATTCGATTACAATGGCACAATTTTAGAATCTGTGAAAGAATTTAAATTACTCGGTATAGATATAGACACTCACTTGAATTGGAAAGCGCATGTCCATAGAGTGAGGTCTAAATTTTCGAGCTTTTCATAATTATGCTTTACGCGAAATTAAAAAAACTACCAACATAGAAACGGCAATAACAACCTTCTATGCGTATGCGCACGCTTGCCTGAGTTACGGCATCATTTTGTGGGGTAACAGCACAGATGCAGCCTCTCTATTCACCCTTCAAAAGAAATTAATCCGGATTATAGCAAATATAGATCAGACTGATAGTTGCAGACCGTTCTTTCTTAAATATAAAATATTAACTTTACCCAGCTTATACAACATGTAACAAAAACCTTGTGGTTCCCGTTAAGTATGTTATCAGGATCAGTATTCAAACCTATAGAAATAACTTTTTTTTAAAACTCGACCAATTTTTTTATTTTATTAATTTTTTTTTAAATTTTATGTGGTTTTATTACCTCTTACTGACACTAGCCGATGCTAAAGCAAAGTAAAGCGGGGTGTTTGACAATCCTCATACCCCCCAGACAATGCAGTAGTAATAAAACCACATACAAGTAGCATGCAATTATTTTTTTAATAAAATAAAAAAATATTGGTCGAGTTTTTAAAAAAAGTTATTTCTATTGGTTTGCATACTGATCCTGATATCGTACTTAACGGGAACCACAGGGTTTTTGTTACATATTGTATGTTACGGCCCACAGCTGCCCCTGCAAAGGTCGCCTTGGCTAGGGCCCATAGTAGCCTCCTCGACGGGTAGCCGAGGGTTCGGGCCCAAATGGCCTTATCATGGAAACATGACCTATCATACTACAAATAAAGAGAAGTCTAGGAAAATAATTGGTACTTACCTGTATCCGAATCTAAGACCGCCCCAAGGCTCGGTCAGGCCGTAGGTAGAGTAGATGCATGTAAAGTTGTGTTTAGTGGTGTGTATATGTAGGTGACCTGGCAGCGCGGCGGTTTCCATGCTGCCCCAAAATGCTGCATCACTCCAGCAGGCGTACACAATGAACAGTTTCTTTCTTCATTGTCACTATTTCAGTCTATTAACTTTATTGTACATTTAACTAACTTCAACTCGCCTAATTCAACATTCCTCGTAGAATCGAACACGTGATACCCGACACAAGCAACGGACAGTAGTTCAAAGTTCAACACTCAATGTCCCGGATTTATTTATCACCAAATTACAAATAAGGAACTAACTCTTCATGAGTCACATGGTTCAGCGTTACAAACACAACTAAGTTCCCTCGTTCGATATTAAACACGACGCCGCAATAAGAATTCAAAATTAACCTAGCTGACACGCAAACTAGCCACCGAGTCAACACACAAAAGGCTCTTAATGCGACGGTATAATTAAACGATGATTTCCAAACAATCAACCGGGAGACGCCCTCGAGAAGGAATGCGCGGTTCGAATTCTAGATCTAGACCCGAGCAAATTAAATATTGCAAAATACACTTCAACACGAAATCACTATATAATTTGCACAATTACTTTCAAAGAAGTTACTTTAATCAGTCAAACACAATACAAGCCTCTTGTCAAGAACTTAAAACCTAGACAACCTAAACCGAGGCGGTTTTCACAAAACCCCAATTACGTAGCAAAGTAACACGCACTAAATCTAACAATCTAGACCATACACCGGTCGCGCGAAACTTCTGCAGCGATAACCGAGATACGCGGATTAACCTCACCGCTGCCAGCGAGTTATTGTACGACTCGACCCGGCCGGCGGTAGCAACCGACTCCCGCCAACCGCCCACTCGTCTAACCGTTTAT